TTGCAACTCGCCTAGCGCTTTCCTTTTCGTGTTGTAAAATTTTACTCTGCTCTCTTTTCGCGTGCACTAACCGAAATTTGATTGCACAATTTAACAAAAAATTACATTAAATATAGCCCATATATCGCTCAGATTGACCAATGGGAATGTAAGGACTTCTGGGTGGTTTTTCAGTTCTTTTAGAAATTTTTAAAAATTTCTCATAATTTTAATTAAATTGAATTTATATTTTATAAGTAAAGGAAAGACTGTTTTTTTCCAGTGCATTGTCCCGGGTTGACACATCTTGTCAATTGCCATGATTATGTTGTCTCTGATGCCTCCTCCAGTTGCTGTTGTTGTTGCAAATGCTGCTGCTGGCGGCTGCTGCGGCTGCTATTGCACTCATAACCAAGACTGAAAAATGCATTCGACTCGCCGCCGGCAAGTGAAATTGGTTTCGCTTTCCAGTAAAAGCGTGAGACTTTTCTTTTTCTCTTGTTTTTGGTGGCAACCGCTTTGGGCTTTTGGTCTTCGTCTCACTTGGCCGTCGGTGCAACATTGATTTCCTCTTTCATGGCCGGTTGGCGATGCTGGAAACGCGTTGCTTGAGTGTCTCGAGAGGCTGCAAAATGTTTCCTGCTCCGCAGCAGCAATTCGTGCCAAGAAATGGTTGAGGGGGAACCGCTTGAAAATTGTCAACATTTGGCGAGTATTTTTGTTTTATTTTTTTCAATTTGCATGCCAACCAACAGCCAAGACAATTTCACTTTCGCTCTCTCTAAGCATCCAGCATCCAGCATCCGAAATGAACAACTCCAAATTGGCACATTTCAGGCTTTCTCCTGGCATGAACACAACCCTTATGAAGCTATTCAGTTGAATAAACCAATTAGATTATCCAACTCAGGACTTCTTTCTATATGCCAAGATCTTAACAACAAAAAGAGTTTTTAAAATAAATAAAAAGTGATTTACTTACCATTAAGCATTCCAGAGATTCCCTCAACTCAAACTCCTTGAATAATGAAAGAGATAATGCAATTTTAGGTAGAGCAGCCAAGCTTATTGGTAATTTAGATCAGGGGCGATAATTTTCATGGCGCAAGCGAGCCAAAGTTCGTGTCTTAAGTCTTTCGTTTTGCGAAATTCCCTCTCTGTGTCGCATTGCCAACTCGTTAAAGCCACTACCCTTCCCCTCCTCCATTCCCATCGCAAAAAAAAAGAGAGAAAAATAAAGAGCTGACGGTAATAAAGCACGGTGCATCTTCAATAAATTTCATGCAGCTGCCGACAAGATAAAGCTGTAGGAATTATACAACAAAATCAATTGCAGTTCGGCTGCCTCCGTTTCGTTGTTCGCCTCTGTGTTGCCTGTTGGTTTCTGGTTGCTGCCTTTTGAGGCTTTCGCCGCATGCCGACGACATCTGCCTTATATAATAATTGACATGAGTAATCATTATGATGGCTTGTTTGAACAATGACCATTAACACTTGGCTGTCTGGTGAAAAGATTTGCGTAAGGCACTCCGTCAGGCTCCTTTGTGCCATCTTCTTGGTTTGTCTTAGCTTCAAAAAGAATATTTAAATACTAAATACATGTTAAAGCCAAGGCAGGGTATAATATTCTTGGCTCTGGTTTAGAAATCACCTCGTTTATCCCAGCGACACGTGCTCCCTGACTTGGCAATCCATCGAAATGTTCGAGTATCCGATTGTCTGACTGACTGACTGACTGATTGACTGACTGACTGATTGACTGACTGAGTGAACGACTCATCGGCTTGTCACAAGCCAAGTGGCGGCTATGCGAGTCATCCGAACATCTGCGACATCTTAAATCTACAATTCCAATTGCACAAACACAAAACAAAAAAACACAAAAACAGAAAACAAACGATGGCAAATGGCGGTCGACCAAACAACAAAAGAATGTGTTGCAATTGAAAATAATTGTTTATGCTTGGCATTAAAATCATTACACAAACGACAAATACTCGGCACAGCAATTGTGGCTACAAATTTTTCAAGTTTCCACCATTAACATTGACAGAGAGAGAGGAAGCGTGCAAAAACCTAAAGCCGAAAGCTAAAGGCAAACAATGAGCAGAGCTTGGAACAAACCATGTTTAAACCACACTTGGCCAACAGCAAATCATGAACAAATGTCCTTAAAAGGAGCTCGGACTATAAACTGACTAGAATGTTCCCCAAAAAAATATTATATGAATTATAACACTTTTTTCCTTTCCCACAACAAGGTTTCAATCGAGGCTTTTAGCCATGACTTTGAGAGTTTAAATACCAATTGACCTGGCCATATTTTTTCCGAGTGCATTTATGCAACCAAATGTGTGTGCAGGTTACATCCGCCAAACATTGTAGACTCCAAACTCCACAGCGCTTGGTGTTGAGGGACACCCAACAATCCACAATCGCTTCCTTAGCTCCACTCTCCGACTCCATCTCCTCTGGAAATGGGGGACAGAGGGCTGACTTGATGAGTCCGCTTGACAGGTGACTGCTCACAATTTATTTGCATTAGTTGGCAACTGTGAAAGGCTAAAAGGCTGAGAGGCCAAGAGCTGAGACTTTCAAGTGGTTGGGCAAACAGAAGCCGCCGGCAGAATGATGATTCTGAAGTTAAACAAAATCTGTTTCGATTCCATAACTACATATTTGCTCAATATTTTGTACAGACCCAAAAAGGGCTTGAGAAAATGTGTAGACTTGAGACTTGAGACTTGAGGCTGTGGTCATGGACTTACAAGAACCGGCCTATTGATTGGCCAATTCTGCACTCGAATGTGGCAATTCCGCCCACCGATTCTGTCACTCAGCCGTCGCAGTCTGTCACCTTAATGAGAGCTTAAATGCCAAATTAACGACACCGATTTACAGCGTTACCCTACCCTACCCATACCCTACCCTTCCGCCTCCCTTTGCCATTCGTGACTTTTGTGGGCGACTTGAAACAGATTTTGGATCTGGATTCAGCTTCGGTCTCTGTGGGTTCGTTCTTTCGTGTCAAGTGGCTGTAGTTTCGGTCTTAGCCATAATTTTGTTTTCATTAACAATAAATTTCAATTAAGCTCACGATTTGGATATTAATAAAGTTTTCAGCGGCACGAAACGCAAATAGCCCGAAAAATCGAACAAAAAAAAAACAACTAAGCCGCGCCGAAAATAAGGCCACAAACGGATGCCAAGTGTGTAAAACCTTTTCGTTAAGCCAATCTCTGTTTTTTTGAGCTGTCGCCAGATTTGTATTCGTGCTTGAAACCAAGAAACCAAAATAAAAACAAAACAAATAAGCCGATTCACGGCTTGTACAAATTTTCGTGGCCCAAGTTTATTAGCAACACGACGCTCTGGCCGTGTGGGTGTTCGTTCGAGTGACTTTTCAACTCTAGATTCTGGTTCTGTTTTTCGGGGGACTCTTCAGAATTTTCAAATACTTTAGAGAGCTTAGAGAGCTGCCAGAGGAGCGACTTTTTTCCTGTATAAAATGTATGAAAATATATATTTATATATAATCGAGGCGTCTCTGTGGCTCCATTCATCATTCGCACACCTTTCCCACAGTCATTATGACGGCCCATAATTGCCATATAGTTTGCATATTAATTAATTGAGGCATTTGCAAGTCGAATCCGATTGACTCGAATCGCGCTGGCCAACCCATTAATTAGCAAATTGCTTGAATACCGCACTTCGCACCTCGCACTCCGCCATCCGCCGTCCGCATCAAGCATACGCAGCGTGGGCCTGTGGATCTACTGATGAGTTTATGACTGTCTTAATCAGAGATTCCGAGAACCCCTAAAGAAGCTGCAGATGCATTATCTTTATTATTGATCAAGTGATTTTTCTGTTTCGATTTCAATTTTAATTCCGATTTCGATTTTCCCACGACCTAGAAGGGGGGCGGCAATTGGCGTTTAATTGAATTTCTGTCAAACCAGAGGCAAGACGGAGCTTTATTTTAATTAGTTTTCTCAGTTAATTAAAATACTAAGCGAACAAAGTAGTCTGAGTCCATACGCACTGCCATCAAGCCAGGTATCTTGTTTCTAAGCACGAAATTCAGAGATTTTAAAGAAGAAAATTAGTATAAAAAATATTCGAAATCTACTTACACTTTGTTGTGGTAGTTTTCTGAAGAAGCAAAAAAGAACATCTAAGAAAATAGCATCTAAATACTACATATTTTTGTTCTGTGTATGCATATACCTTTGCGAATGGGGGAACTTGGGCGAGGCCGTAAATTAAGTGCCAGCCTCCAAATGTCAAAACATATGCCAAAGTCGGGAATTGTGCGGCTGTCGCGTCAGTTCCATAGATAAACATACGCAAAAGCAAGACTAGCAGCAGCAGCAGCAGCAGCAGCAGCAGCCACATCAACCCACGGCAACAAGAACCGCTAGCGGACAATGACCATGACTGCAGCGGTTGTAGAAAGATATAATATACCTACATACAGTTAAGACTACGTACGTGTATATGTACTAAAAAATAGAAATAGAAATCGGTAAGACCAGCAGCAAAAACGTTACCGTTAACCGGCACAGTGGGTCGAAAAGTGTAGCCACAGTGGAGGTTCTGAGAAGAAGTTAAAAAGTACAGAAATAAAAATATAAATGGAGTACTTACTCAAAACCTCCTTAATAAGTCCAAGAGTTTAAGGGCCAATCTGTTATCTTAACAGTTTCATTTCGTAAAAAATACTTATCCTGGTTAACCACTGTACTGAATGGACAGGTGTGGCTCTACTCAGCTGTGTGAGCCCAACTTTAGACGGACAGACGCCCCTCGGGCGTGTAATTAAATCATTCGCTGGCTCGGTTTCACTTAGCCAAGTCTCGCTGCTGGCCAAATTATGTTGTAGTTTAAAGGCCCCAATTAGGCGACAGCGCTGTTCCAAAGTTTTTTTCACCCGCCCCCATTCTAATTGCTCCTTTAATATCCCACCTTCCAAAGGGATGATCGCCAGTGACAACCAGTCCTCAGTTGACAGCGAAATGTCAAAGCTAGTCGAGGTTTTTTTGGGGAATCTGTGGACGCAACGATTCACCTTCGCCCGCATGGGCTTCGACCTTCAGCCGGCGACGGGTGGAGGCGTCCTCCGATTGCCACTGCTCTACGGGATTATGGTCTGCTCCACCACATTCGAGCTTTGCACCGTCTGCGCCTTCATGGTCAAGCATCGCAACCAGATTGTGCTCTGCTCTGAGGCACTGATGCACGGCCTGCAGATGATCTCGTCGCTGCTGAAGATGGCCTTCTTTCTGGCCAAGTCCTCTGATTTGGTGGCCCTCATCCGCATGGTGCAGGCTCCGTTTACCGATGACAGTGTCTTGGGGTTTAAGGAGTGGAGCTCGCAGAACCGCCGGGGCCAGCTAATGGCCGCCGTCTACTTTGCCATGTGTGCCGGCACAAGTATATCTTTCCTGCTGATGCCAGTGGCACTGACCATGTGGCGGTACCACTCCACGGGGGAGTTTGTGCCAGTCAGCTCGTTCCGAGTGCTGTAAGTCGAACAAGAAGGCTCCTTCTGCTATATTTTCAAAGAACTACAAGTATTATTAAACAGACTTCCCTACGACGTCACCCAGCCGCACATTTATGCCATGGACTGCTGCCTGATGGGGTTCGTGCTCACTTTCTTCTGCTGCTCCACCACCGGAGTGGACACCTTGTACGGTTGGTGTGCCCTGGGCCTGAGTTCCCAGTACCGCCGCCTGGGACGCCAGCTGAAGCGCCTTCTCAACAGTCATTCTAATTCCTCTCGCTCCGACCTGGGCCTGAGCGAGCTGTTCTTGGAGCATGCTCGTCTCCTGAAACTGGTGGAGCACTTTAATGCCAGCTTCAAGCAGATTGCCTTTGTGGAGGTTCTGGTGATCTGTGTGCTCTACTGCGCGGTTATCTGCCAGTACATAATGCCGCATTCCAACCAGAATTTCGCTTTCCTCGGCTTCTTCTCGATGGTGGTGACCACGCAGCTGTGCATCTATCTCTTTGGAGCGGAGCAAATAAGGCTAGAGGCCGAGAGATTTGCCAGGCAGCTGTACCAGGAGCTGCCCTGGCAGAAGCTCACACCGTCGCACCGAAGGCTGCTGCTCTTTCCCCTACAATTGGCACAGAGGGAGACCGTCCTGGGGGCCTACTTCTTTGACCTGGGCAGACCTCTGCTCGTCTGGGTGAGTCCTGGATGGTAATTAGACAAGTTTATACTTACAATTCCTATTTACAATCCCTTCTTTAAAGATATTTCGCACGGCGGGCTCCTTTACAACCTTGCTCAATGCTCTCTATGCCAAATACGAGACGGTTTAACCTTGGATTTTTCTCAAAATAAAGATCTTGTGGCTTGTTTTTATTTCGTTTTTATTTATGTTTATAATTACATTTAACATTTCTCGTTTTATGTACACGCACATAATAAAATTATGCTCAATTAGACACAAAAAATAATTACATTAGATACGCATATGAGACGCATGCACAGGGTACATGCATATAGAGTAGACTACGCCTAGGTTTAAGAATTAACAATCGATGCGAGACAAAAAGCAGACAGACCAAAAAAAACACTGGTATATAGTATTTAGTATAATTGCGATATGTGGGGATGTGGGTATGTGGAAGGGGGATGTCAATTTGGGGGGAGGAGTACGGGTGGTGGCTCTTTTGTGGTGGTGGCTTGCATTCATCTCGAAACAAAATAAATAAATCTAACAGAGGAGACGGAAGTGTGGAAGTGTGGAAGTGGTAGTGGTAGTGGTAGTGGCGATGGATGTGCAGGTGGAACTTCTGGGCTAGCTTACTTAACTGAGGGCCAGCAGTGGCTCCAGCTCTAGCGGATCCTGCGGGTCCTGGGGATCTTGAAACTTGGGTCCCACCACCTTTTTCCTGTACTTCTTCTGCAGCTTGGTCTTGGCCAGCTTGGCCTTGGCCTTGGACGAGCTCTTGCCCGCGGAGGAGGCCTTGGGCCTGGCCTTGGCCTCCAGCTCCTTCTCGCGGTCCAGCAGCTCCAGCTGCTCGAATATATTCTTCGGATGCGGATGCGTGCTCGGGGCCGTGGCGTTCTTTGCCGCATAAACCACCACGAACTGGGAGAAGGCCGAGTCTGCCGGTGTGTTTATGTCAGCGAAATCCCTGAAATTGGCAAACTGTTCCTCCGGATAGGTGTACTTCTGCACAAAGCCCTCAGAGGGACGGCCATGGCCGTTGTTGGCGGCATCGCCGTAGATGTAGTCGCTGTTGTCCTCTGGATGGTAAGGCATCTCCTCCTCCGGATAGAAGGTGCCGCCGCGCAGCACTCCAAAGTCCCCACTGCCCAGAATGCTGGCATCGAAGTTCCTCTGCTGATGCTGCTGCACCGGTTGCTGCTGCTGCTGTTGCTGCTGCGGGGCCAGGAGCGGCAGTGGCAGGGACAGGGGAGTACTCTCCGAGACGGGACCGTGGCCAAAGTAGGGCCTGGAATGACCCAGGGGCGGCGCCTCGTGGTAGAACGGAGGATAGAAGTTCTGGGCCGCTTGCGTGTGCGAATCGGCATCGGATCTGGCCACTAGTGTTCCCGGATTGGGATTAACTATCGGGCGGAACTGCTCCTCGCCCGGGTCCTGGTGCTCCTGCTGCGTGGCCACCTGGAACTGCCTTGGCTGGGCACGGGGCTGGATCCTGGCATGATTCTGGAGCGGCTGCGGCTGCTGCGACTGGAGCTGCGTAGATGGCGGCATGTGGAAGTGCTGCTCGTGGGAACGCAGCACTGTAATCGGGGCAAAGTCATTCGGCTCCATCAGCATGTCGCTGTCCTCCTCCGGGAATTCGGCTGAAAATATACCAAAGATCGAGAGGAGAAATCAGAGATCAGAAATCCGTCAGAGAAATCCACTCGACGAGAGCCTCGAGTGTATCTTGGATACTCGATGGGATGGCTCTGCGCTGCGATGTCTGCTGACATCGAGTGGGTGAAATGTGTTGCCGAACATATGCGTCTCGAGTTCGTCATCGAACAGCACTCGAGCCGACAGGGAACCCCAGACGAAGATGGTACTTCCTCTGGTGAATCCCCCCACAAAGCTCAACTAGGGGAAAAGTAAGAACTCTCAAGAAATACCTAAAGCAATGCCAAGTCGTGTACCAACTCTGGTTTTTGGACTCTCGCTGGACGGCAGTCAAATGTCGTATCGATAAAAGTCGATAATAATGTGAGAGGTTGCCCAAGCAGCTGGCATAAATTCGGTGTGTGCTGTGGCCTATGTTCTAGACCCTCCAACCGATCCCCTCGCAAATACTTATGGTATGAACCCCACCCACAGCCAGGAGCCTTTCATATGATCGTATGAGATTTTTGCTCGTTTCAACACAATTGTTGCTGCCGCCTGTTTTTCGGTTTTTTTTTTTCAGTTTTTCAGTTTTTCCTCTTTGGATTTTTACAGAGTTTTCACTGCGCATGCAATTTCTGGGCCCAACACCCGCTGGTTGTTTTATATTTTTTGTTTTTTTGAGTCAGTTGCCGCGTTGCCCGACTGGCAAATGCCGAACATAATGAGTTTGTTAAGTGTAATTGGGTAGTGTGTCGAGTGTAGACTCGGTTCGTATCGCTCTCGAGGCTCGGAGCTACAAAGCCTTTGTCGATTTCGGGCTCTTGATAGTGAGCCAAGCTGCCAGAAATGGGTCAAACACTCGGCGATATGTCGTGTAAGTATAGATTACTTTATTATTATTTATTATTGGAGTCGACTGTGGGGACTGTGGGTGCACGACTCGGCTAATTTACGAAATTGCAACGATTTGCTGCTGGATAATCGATCACGGCCACAGGACGCCTCCCAGCAGACGAATCGGTGGTTCATCAATCAGAAATGAATTGCCATCGGCATCATGGAAATGAAAATTGAGATGCCAATTCAAATGCAAATCAAAATTCAAATCAAAATCAAAGCAAATGTAGCGTCACGAGCGAACATTGGACTTTCTCCCAAGCCCCTTTTACCCTCTTAAAAGCCCTTATAATCACTTAATTTCTCTCTAAACAAAGTCTTTGTATAATATATTAACAGTTATTACAATTATTTCGTTTTCAATGTGTGTTTTCATGGCTGTAAATTCACACAGGTAACTCCAAATGGGTACAAGTTCAATGGAACAACTTTTGGTTTACAGATGTGTTTACATACGAGTGAATATAACTTTGCTAAGCTGAATTAACTTGTTGAATTGAAGGTGACAATTGCCATTTGCCATTGGCAAAAAGCTAATGGAAATCAATTCCAAATTAATATAGAATTTTTAAGATTTCAAGCAACTTTTCAATCAGTTCAGGGGAATTCGATGCAAAACGAATCTTTTTTCAAAAAATTATTGTGGCGAAACGGCTAAAGTTAGCTTCATAAATTAAATACCATATAATAACACAACATTTGAACAATTTTTGATAATAATAATATTGCAAAATAATCAGGGGTAGAGGAGTTATAGGGAATCTCCCGAGTCACCTCCTAAAAAAGTTGGTTTGCGGTGTACATCCCAACTGTCTAGAGAATCATTCGATCTAGAAAAAATATAACTCATTCGTTAAAGGATAAGTGTCCCGTGTATTCACGTGGCGTTTTCATTTTTACAAATTTTCCCCGAATTTTAATAAAATTTGAAACTTAATTTGAATTTTTCAGGAGGTTTTCATACATTGAACATCAAACGACCTTGGTTCAACTCTGCATAACTTCTTCAATTTTCCTATGATCGTTGTAAAATTTGGACAACATATTCTTAAGAAATTGAGCCTTACTTCATATTTTAATTGGAATGTATCAATTGAATGTAAATATTTTTGAAATATTAACAATGATTTGCTAGAGGTTTCAAGAACCAAAATAAGCAACTGTGTATAGTGGTAGTGAATATAGCGAAATCTGTGAATAAACCAAATTATTCACTACCCACCCAAGCGTCCCAAAATTGTCTAATTAATGTTGTCTTGCTCGCTGCCTTTCCTTGGCTCTGTCTGTGTGTTTGTGTTTGCGAATTATGAAAAAGCTGGAAAGACAAAGGCGCTATTAAAATCGGTGGGCGCAAGAAAAGTGGGCTTAGCCAGCGAAACGCAGAGAAAGAGCTGGCCAAATGGGATAAACAGTTGGTGTAGTATATATGTATGTGTACAAGTGCTCGTAACACGATGACCCTGATGACGATATAACCGTGCTGATGTAGACGTCGATGTTGCCACACGACTCTCCGGTACAATGGGGCGTATGCGTTAAATTGAGCGTGTCGTGCCTGGGCATGGGTGTGTGTTCGAGTGTGTGTTTGAGTGTTTGCTCCTCTTTTTGAGATACCCAGCCACAGCTACAGTCAAGATATTGGGACTAGCTTTCTTAGAAGAGTTGATAATAACATCATTTACTTGGATCCAAGTGCTAAATATTCGTTTTACAATGTATCCTTAAGGATTCCTTGAACTAAGACAAGCATTATGTAGGTATTATTTTGGCCACAACTGTGCGTACCGTGACACCTAGTACTTAAAAAAACAGAAATTGCATACTCCTGCTCAACTGCTCATGTTTCCTCTCTCCTCACCCGGAGCTCATCTTTTATTTCAGTCCCGATTGTGTCCGATTATGTGTGCGATGGTATCTGATTGCAACGTGGGCGTCAGCCGTATAATTAACACATTGTTACTGTATCTGCCGGGCCGTGCCTTGTGCCGTGTGAGTCTGTTGCAATGAGTAATGAGTAATGGGTAATGGGAAGCGTGTCTAAGTGGGCGTTAAATGGCCGCCTCAATGCGTCCATCAGAGATGGCAAAAGATGGGAGTACAATTGATGCTATCGATGTTTACATTGCAACGTTTGATACGTTAAAATTTAAGAAACAAGGCTATAATTTGGGTTTGTTTAAATTTAAAATATATATAATATTTTTAAAATTGGCTGCATGACTTAAAAAATCGATAGTATCGATATTTTGTTTGTAAAAATATCAAAATATCGGTATTTTGCCAGCTCTAGCATCGATCCTCACCAAAAAAATCGATGGTATCGATGTTTTGTCCCTAAAAATATCAAAATATCGATAGTGATAAATATCGTTTTTTACCCAGCTCTAGCGTCCTTCCTCGTCAAATTTGCCAAAACAGAATAAGTGATTTTTGCAACAATTGTAATAAATGCAAGGAAGGATTGAAAGGATTAAAAGGATTGATTCTTTGCCAGATCTAGCATCCATCCTGGTCATGGCAGTCATCATTAGAAACTAAAGAAACTAGGAAAATGCGCTGTAAGTGCACCCAAAAGATGCCAAGTGGGGATCCACAGGGGAGACTCTTCAATCAAGTAAGTTACCATCTAGTTTGGGCCTTTTTAATAGTCAAGTTTTTAGTTATAGATTATGGATAATGGATATGGAATAATCCAGAGATTTCAAAACCCTGCATTTCTCGCTCTCTCCAAGCTCCTATGATCATTCGCACTCACTTGGTTTTCGTTTCATTTCTTATCCACTTTCCCCCATCGCCTTGGGGCACTCCCCGTTTCGCAGTCAACGGGTCTCAGTTGCACCTCACCTAGCCTCCTCCCCTTTCACTCCCGAATCTCGCCCGCTCATTACCCACACGGCATCTCCTCCTGTGGTAGGTAACTCATCAGCAGCGCTATGAAATTTTCCGGCATTTTGTTGGCACTTACAGCAGCGCATGCGTGTAAACACACAGATCAGTTCGTGGGCTGTTTACCTCACCGCCAGAGCCGCCTGAGCCACCTCCTTATCTGTCCATGTCAGAGTCTGGGGTCTCTTTTCTTTCTGCAGTTCATAAATTTTCAAATCAAAACCGGCACAACGTTGCCACTTTCACAACGGGTTGGCTGGCTGCATGGCTTTCGGGTGAGGCATTATAATTAGAGGGGAGTTTTTATATTAATCCTGCCTCTTGGTTGGGTTTCATGGTCAGTTTTGAGGGAACAGCAAGTTCTTCAAAGGAAAATTAACTAGATTAACTTTATTTTCTTACAAATTATTAGTGTAAAAGGTAGTAGTTCGCATAAGAAATCTATCATTCCCGCTGAACAAAGTCGAGTGCTGTGCTGACTATACATAATCTTAAAACACGACTTTTCAGTGGAGATTTTTTATACAGCAATCATTGGTATTTTAGTACCTGGTAAAAGGTGCTGGATTCTCTTACATTAAGACAGTCGTGTGGCTTTATTTATGAGTTCGTTGCAGCAGCAGCAGCCTGCATACACAACTAAATGTTGGCAATTAGCTGCTTTTTATGTTACATTCTAATGACAGTTTTACAGTATATCTATCTGCTCTGCCTGCCTTTTTATTCCCCGACGACTTCTTGTCATGTTTTTCCGCATTGAGGCGAGGCGATGGCAAGGCAACCTTGGAGCCACCACCAACCACTTCATTTGTCTTCATTTGCAATTCGATTGCACTTGACTTGGCCGAAAAGAACCTGGCCAGCACAGCATCAGCATCAGCATCAGCAACATGGCTATAATGATGATGACTCAGCTGTAAGCTTAAGCCGGCCGGCGATGCAAGCGGTCAATGTCAGTTTTTGTTTTGTTTATTTTGATTTTTTCTCGCCATCATTCTGGGCTGAGAAAAATCCAAACGGACGAGTCCGTGGCAAGTCGAGAATCGCATTTCAAGATAAACCACTTGGCCGGGCAAGCACATGCTGCTGCTGCTGCTGCTGCTGCTGCTGCTGCCCATTAATTGTCAATAATAATTGCTGGCAGAGATGCTAACACATGGCTGGCGCGGCAACACGGCGTATGCGCGATGCCATAAATTATTATTACCGCGTTGAGTGGGTGCGCTGTGTGCCTTGTTCATTATGTTGGATGTTAGAATAAGCCCGGGTATATATGTATATATGGTTTCTATGCCATGGTCTGGGACTGCTGCTGGGCTGTGCCTCTCGCAGTGACACCGAAAGCAAACAACCCAAACACAGCCAAATTAATGAAAATTGTACAACAATACACCGCACACAAAACAAATTCAAAACAAAACAAACAAACAAGTAAACTTGACTGCTTGCAACCGCCTCGGTTGGGGCATAATTAAATTTGCATTTTTCTCATCGTGAAAATCCGTCGGTCGAGGTTGCCACCACCACTAGCTATATTTTTGGGATGGGCCACAAGCCACATTAAGTGCGATGAGCAAGAGCACGGGACCCATAATTCATCGAAGATCTACGCCCTTGGCCAAAAATTGGCATATAAACACACAGAAAGAACTGAGGCAAAGCCTTCATGAGGATAACTTTTCGTTACTTTTTGTATATTTGAAGATTTTATATTTCAAATAAAACCAGTTTTCTTCAAACACCTATCCATCATCCAGCGGAGAATGCTCCATTTGCCTTGGAAGTGCCTTTTTCCTATGGCCAATCAGCCAGAAGAGTAAGAGCTTCCGCATCGTTGGAGGAGCTGCGGGTTCAGTAAAACCCAACCCAACATCTGGGGCTTTTGGGGTGAAATATTAATAATAATTTTGTGGCTCTTGAACTTTAAAGTTCAAAGCGAGCGGATGACATTTAACTTGACCGAACAAAGGCAGAAGAATTCTGTTGACATTTGGCCAAAAAAAAAAAAAAAAAAAAACCCAAGTGAAACAAAAGACTCACCGCACGAACGTGTGCACTCCACAAGGACACACGAAACGGGGCGGGGGTTCTGTGGGTGGGGAGTGGCCTGCAGATGCCAAATGGCAAACGGCAAATGGCAATTTCCAATTCAACTCGGCTGCCAAAACAAATGACATGGAATTAAAATCTTTATAACGTTTAGAATGGCTTTGCTTGGGTTGTAGGTTTGTGGCAGAGATGAGGCTATTGCCTGCTGGCTGTGCCCATAATTGTTTGGCTTTTGATAAATGAGTTCGCTCCGATTTGAATAACGTCGTGCTCTAACTTTAGCATTGGAGTTAATTTCTACACAGACACACGTCGCCTCGGCAATTAGCCATCTTTTAGCCATGAGCCAAGTCAATTTAGTTTCAGTTTCAGCTTTGGTCTTGGTGGAGGTTTCAGTTTCAGTTTCAATTTCAGTTTAGGTTTCAATTTGAGCTACAGTTTCGTGCTCGGCATGCCAACATGACTCTGAGCTATGCATAAACAATTCGATCTTATGAACGCTCCACACACTAGCATAAATCTTCCACTCAACGCTAAGCATTTGCTGTTGATTTATGGGTCTTCGTAGTGCTTGTCTTATAAATAGCATCCATAAAGTGTCGGGCTTCGTACCTCTCTACGCCTTAAAATGTCTCCGGCTACTGCTTTTTTTATTTTATTTACAACAACTTTACTGCTCTGGAAACTCTGATTGAGTTGCCTCCGCCTGGGTCTGGGTTCCAGCGAGATAAATCAAAGCCAAGTCAACACGACAACGAGGGTTTTCCCATCCGGGAAATGTAGTTATTGATATTCAGTTTTGAATTTCAAGAAGAAGTATTTGTTGTGGTTTGCTTTTCAATTAACATCATGTTGCTGGCCATAATTGCATTGTAAATATAATTATAATTTTCAACCAAAACAAATGCTGAGCTGCCTAAACCAAGGTGACCCTTTGAGGTGAGGTGAGACCCCCCAGTCACCACCATTCTTGAGATCTTTAGTTCCAGCTGCTGCCGGTTCTCCTCATTAACCCCTGAGACTACATAAGTGGTGGTGTTATCATTAGGCTGGCTTTGACCCCGGCATTGTCATTGAAGTGATTCATTAAGCTGCAGTTTTACGCCAGACCGAGTTTCGCTTGCTTGTAATTAGAGCCGTTGGCCCCCCCTCCCCGCCACTGACCATAATTTCCGGCTGACATCAGGGCTATTGTCTGGGTTAATGGCTTACAATGCGTCAAGTGTTGTAATGCCTCCCAGCCTCAGGCTGGGAATGGAAATGGGTTTCGTTTTGGGAATGGGTAATGGGAAGTGGAGCATAGCGGAGGCACCTGTTTAACACCATCAACCGTTGGCCTGCGATCTTCGCCTGACATTGGCCCGATCACCCGATCGTTTTTAATTGAACATGACATTTTCCAATAAGCAACAATTACTTAATTCCTGACCTTAGAGGCAGGCTCTGCTCGAGTATGCTTGGCTGTGAAAATGCCATAAATTATTAGCGTGGCAGTACGTACGATCTCCTCGTGGCTCCTCGATGAGCTTCAATGTCAAAACCATGCCGCGGCGAATCACAATGCCAGCAACAGCAACAGCACAAGAAGCCTTAAATGTCAAACATTTGGCTCGTGAATTCTCGGGCCAGAATCTGTGTGTATAGAAATGATTTGTTATACCCTTTCACGAACATCGAAATGCCATCTTGCAGAGAGCACAGGAGGGTACATTAGCTGAGTCAAAATGTTCCTATGCCTGCTAAACCGTTTAACAAGTCCCCAAAGCAAGTCCCTCGATCTGATTGCAGGGTATTGCCTGGCACTTGAGCATTTGATCTCCATTATGTGTATTTGTTACCATTATTAATCTAATGAAACTGCCAGTTAGTCACTCACTCGGCGAGTTGGCTGAGTGGTTGGCCAAGCACAGTTGCAACTCGCTGTTCATGCTAGAGACTCTGGCTTAGTCGCCCAGTTGCAATAATAGCATTTAAATGGCTCTTTTAAATATTATTTATGACTTTGTAAAGTGTGGCCTGACTTGGCTATATAGTCTGTCTGTCTGTCTGTGTGGTGACCCTCGGGGTCTGTTTTCCACACACGTAGCTAAAATAATTGCGGAACGGGGAAAGGAGATTTGTAAATTATGTTGGAACACAGCTCCCCTGCCCTATCGCCACACTCTTCCCATCATTAAGGAGCCTCGTCTTTGTTGTGCCCTCGAACAGAACGAGAAGCTATCGTTCTTCGCTATCCGGAGTCTCGTGATCACATCGCATCATGATCGCTGAGAATGAAGAATGAAGATTGAAGAATTTGTAGAAATAATTATATATAATGCTGGCTGGCCAAGGACGGGCTAGTTAGTTGCGTTTTGTAGCTGAGGCTTTTCGCATTTTCCATCCATTTTGTTCTGACTTTGCTGACTGACTGACTAACTGGCCGACTGATTGAATGACTGACTGACTGAATGACTGACTGACTGCATGCTCCAACGATCATTGTGCAGTGCCTGAGCGCTTCGCTGGGCATCGAATCTTATATGAGTGCCCAGCCATTGTGTTTCTGTTTGCACATAGACATATTTATTCAGACTTATTAACCATTCATGTACTTCTCGCTTGTGCAATGTTCCAAGCTGCGCCTCTAGAGTGGGTGCTGTCACTCGGATTGCAACTCCGCTGGGTGCGGTACCGAGA